AAACTTCAACCTCTTGTCTCAAGTATGAAACAATTATACTAAAATCCTTTGAAAGGCTTTCTGATCTCTATTTTTTAAAAAGCCTGAAACATGTCAACTCCTTTATACAGTTCTGTATCTATATCAGTTACATCTGTATACTGTATGCTATCTATGAACTTTTGTCTAAATATGAACGAACACTATTACAGTAATTGGGCACTGAATTAATGGAAGAAATCAAAAAGAATGTTATATTCAGTGATTGAAATTAGAATAAATCAAATTAGCTAATTTTTTATATTGAATAATTTCCGTTTAAGTATCTTGAACCAGAACATTCCCAGAAATTTCAAAACACCATGATCCAAGTGTTTATGTCTGGAGATTCATTTCTTTGCATTTAATCATGAACTATTAAATCTCTTTATCATAATATGTATTACAATAAATGAATTTGCTATATTCACAGTAATATGAATAGTGAGAATCATTATTAATTGCCTAGACTTATTATCTTTCCTACTGAAAATGGATGAAAAAAATATGCTATTCACATACATAAACCCTTGATCATATCCATTTACAATAAAATCTTTTTGTTCAATGGACTAATGAAACAACTAAATACATTTCAACCAATTCATTATATTGCAAACTACATTAGAAATAAATTCATTTTGTATTATTTATTTGAATTTTCCTATTAGTGTTAGGACTGTAATTGATCATCCTCTTATTGGCATATGTGTATACTGTGCATATTGCCTCGGTATTATTTTAAGTCACAAGCGAACGATAATGAGTTTGAGTCTCAGAGTGGGCATCAACTCTCGGATGCAGGTACATCCAGTTGACAAGTCTCAAATAGGATGAAGCATAAGTCCTGAATTCCACTGCTAGCCACTATCCATCTTTGTTTATACAGTTGAAATATTTTACCAACAGATTTGTCAATATTGAACAAGCAACTCTTACTCTCAAAACAATTTCAACACTTTGGTTTTAAATAAAATGCTTACTCTTTTAAATTTTTACCAAAACAACTTTAAAAGACCCATTTATCACATGTCGGGTTTCTATTAGACAGTCTCCTACTTGAATGAAACCAAAATGATTGGAGCAATCTTTTGATAGTCTTTAACGTTAGTGATTTGAAACTATGCTCAGGGAAGTGATTGTTTAAACTATTTCAGCAATTAGCTTCTTTTATAAATCTGAATAAGACCAAAGTAAAAATTAAGGCTCGATGGTTAAACAGTTCGACTTTCACTTTGTAAATTATAAGTTCAAATCTAACTTTTCATTATGGTTTGACTTTAGTTTATTACCTACTGGAAATATGCTATTACTAGATAGAATGGCGTACTCATAATTCTACACAAGATTAAATATTGAGTTGTTACGTCTCGTACAGAACGCGATTGATTCCAAATACTTGATTTATCGGTAAGTTACTGATTATCGCATTCAGTGTTGTTTATTTTACAGTCCATTATGTTCTGATGAATATTTTGGAAAGTTATCAAGAACATATTCACTAGTCATAATGTGATTATGAATATTTAAGTGAAGATTTGATGCAAATAGATAATGTTTGTTATACATTAAGTTGATTTGTGAAGTCATTGGAATATAAGAAGAATCGGACCAATATTTTATCCAAATATGAAATTAATTAAAAGTAGAAACAATTAAAGAGGTTCCAAGTGTTAAAAACTACACAAGTACCCAAGTCATGAAGTCATAGTTAAATTGGTACCAAGAACTAAGATCTATTTGATATTGTTTGTTTTGTTAGCAGTAACGAAAGAAGGACCGAAATACAACTCCGAATGCATATATATATATATATATATATATATATATATATATATATATATATATATATATATATATATATATATATATATATATATATATATATATATATATATATATATATATGCGCCCTGACGTTCCCGATAAGACTAAAGTTCAGTAATAATTGATCCATACTGCCAACGATATTCTTTATTAAGATACAAATCACGGAATGGTTAAGGAAATTCTGCAAGAAGCTCTTTATTTACTTTTCATGCTCATAACCTTAAGGGAATTAATCTACCCAGTGTAATTAAAACATGTATCACCGAATTTTCCAACTGGCAGGTTAAAAACATAATATACACAAAATAGAGTCACTTAGACTATTGCCCACAATATACTTTCATCAGCACTAAAAACTAAGTAAACACAATACAGACTGCTACACAGAAATCAATCAATATAAGCTAGTAAGTTTCGAAGCTTTCATTATCCTTTAGGAATAAACACCATAAAGATATATATAGTATTTAGAACTGCATGGTTTGGTCGTGAAGCTTTCATAGTTCTCCTGAACGACATCATCTATAGTGACTCACATGCAAATGGGTTTATTCTCATTTAACTCAGTTAAGCCCTTTTGCTAACTTATTTAGCGGACAAAGGCATCCGCACCATAACAATTTATTGTACCCTTATTATTATTTTGTGCTTGTATGAAATACGCATGCTTGAATATTGCTTACGGCCTACGCATTTATTCACTCTGCTAGTCTCACTACTAACCGCTTATTTGATTCGATTACTCATTAATTTCACATGCTATATATATGTCCATGTTATTTATATGGTTGACTCTGCTTTCTCGCTCGCTTGATTGTACTTGATTACTTACATTCGCTCCGTCGCTCGCTTGCCTGTTTGCCGTTCGACACAACTTTTAATGCTCGTTTAATGCATCTGTAATTTTTGGACATCTGTGTGTGTGGTCTCAAAATAAACGTAATCAACGCTTCGTATTCGCCTTCTGAATAATATACCGTTGGGGTTAAATAGGACGGTTATCGAGACGAATTGTATACGAAGTTTAAGGAATATATCGAATACCGACCACCACACATCACCATAAACTTCAAGTAGAAATGAAGTGTCTGAATTTCTCCATGTTTGGCTTTGAACATTATATCCATAATTTGGATATTATATAGTTACGTAAACTACTTTCGCTAAAGATTTACTCACACTACCTCAACAACTTTTTTTAAATATGTAACCCAACAAAAACTTTAGTTGTTTGTAGTGTTTGATAGTTCACTAAGCATTTCTCATCATATGAACTAGAATCCTTTATTATTTTGTATACATAGAGAAATTATCTAACTTCTGATCCAAAGAAACTAGATGAAATCAAAAGAAAGTTATCTATTCCTTTTTCTTTGGCCGGAAACTCATCGCTAACTGAACACAGTAGTAAATCAGTGGTTCCAGCTATTCGTAAGTAATAAATGACTATTTGAAAAATTATCTCAAACCCAGTATTACAAAATTCTTACTCTCCATACTTAGAATTCTTATTGTATCTCGGTAAAAATGATAAATAAATTACAATACATCTCAGTGTTTTATGAAAGGTTACCTGAACTGGACAATATCAGAAATCACTTCTTTAATACATTGAAATTTCTATGAAAAAAGTCAATGCCCTGATGTGAAGCTCAAAAAAGTCATTGAATAGGTCATCTACTGCATATGTTTGAGATTGTTGTATTATGTTGAATGATCATTAATCGTTTGTTACTTTATTTTAGCTGTTCACAAAAAGACATCGATAATTTTATGTGACCTAAAAGTCATATCACTCTTAAATTGAACAATCTCTCATCATGATGATAAATACAATAAAAGATATTTGGAGGGTAGATACAACCAATTTTCTCGGTATGCATTATGATTTGGATACTTTTGAAAGTATAAACCATGTTATCTAACCACTGTTATGTGCATCTATCGACACAGATATCTGTCTGAATTTTTTATAAGTCGAGGTCACTAACCGTAAACTTTCTTAAAACCATCGTCAGATAAATGCCGTTTCTGCTTAACAGAGAAATAGCAGAAGTATATCATTGTAGTTCTGTTGCAAACCTTCTGGGCTTTTTTTAGTTATTCAAGGGATCTAAGAAACATACAGAGTACTGAGTGTTTGGTCAAGATAAACAAGAATCTCAGAGCACAAGGTACATGCTATTTGACACTCATAAGGAAATCATATCCTAGATCAAAAAGCAATGGAAATTCAATGTTCGATTCAAACTCACATCATTCAATGTTGTGTCAATGATGTTAGCAGTGTTTTACCCAAACGACGACTAGAGTCGTTTGTTGCTAAGATAATTGTATCTCTTATCATTCCTAACGGATTTTACCCAATGTTGAGTCACTTACCCTAAAGAACATGTCCTAGGTTGACAAATAGCATTATGTCAACATTAGTCAGTTGTTAATCAGTGTAACTTAAGTGTCGTCCGGATCCCATGAAGGCATAAACTTATACCTGTTTCGAGCTGTAAAACGTAGAGCAATTTATGATTATTAGAAAAGATTTGAGTGATACCACTTTTGATAATCTTGACTGGATTTCGATTAATCTTTGATGCATAATTTCATCACGTGAGGACTACTTCAATCTAGACATTCTCGGGAAATTTTTAACAGAATAGACGGATTCTGACAAGTGGTGTAATCCAGAGCACTTTTTTCGTTTTATTGGGGATTCATCAGTTGAATGAATCTGCATCCGTTTGATATCCACTCTGAGACTTAAATCAAACGCCTTCCGCTTCAAATGCCAGCACTTAATCCTTCTAGCGACTGAGTTCGGATAGCCATTCACTTATGCGACGGGTATGAATATTCATTTAATATGAAATTGTTTGAACTGTTCGTTTGTTGATATTTTGACAGTAATTGTACCGTCCTTATTTAGCATACTTGGTTTTGTACGAATCCCCTCGACATAGTTATAATGTCGCAGGTGCATGCAAAAATAGATGACATATGACTGGCAGTGAAATTTAGGACGCATGAACTAGGTACATCTGACAAACGAATACTAAATAGGCCGAAACATAGTCTCTGAATCTTCCCTGCTACCTACATTTCATCTATTCTAAATGAAAATAAAAAGAATAATAAGTAAAATTGATTCGACTTACCCAAAAAAGAATAAACGATCTATCGGTCTTTTATATCCCATACGTTTTGAAGTTAAAGTAAGTATATGTTCAGCAAATCGAAAAGTTATTTCACTTGGTTTACCCAATAATGATGTATAACGTAATTTATAACCAGTTAATTGATTATATAATGTTTGTAAACAAATTAAAAATGCACCATGACCAAATCTAGGCAATGCAGCTTTATCCATATAAACTAAATCCATATTACATGCAATTATTGGTAAATGTTCTTCAGGAAATGTTTCTGGTACTTCATCTGGTTTACCATCAGTCATTAATAAATCAACTAATAATTGTAAACTCGACTCCCATCTTGCTGGTTCACCAGTTAAAATTATAGCTGAGATTTTTTTTATAAAAAAAATAAAAAAATCTATAAAATTTATTTGTTCTCAAATGTACTAATATTATAGGTAGATTTTCATTAGTACTTCATGTCACCTAGTAAACTGTTGCTTTGGGTCTTTCGAAATTTCATATGAATTCACATTCGAAACTTTCAAATCTTATGGTATATAAATGATAGTACTCGGATTATTAGGTCTAAATTTATTTAAGAAGAGAAGTCACTTCATTTTGAGTGGTTTTATTCCCAGAATAAACAAGATGACTCTTTGTTTTTTATTAGATCACAGTCTTATATTCAATAGTAAAGGTGAAGAACTTTACAGGTCGACTATCTACTAAACGATTAGACTGACCACATTGATTTTTGACATGAACCAACAAGCTTATTTATTTTAACGTGAAGGTTACCTTACTTACTAGAGAACTCGAGCTTTAGTTATACGTTTGTAATAAAACTACTGTATTCACACAAACAAATAGTCAACGCCTATGTACAACACAGTTCTAATATAATTGAATTAAGGGAGATAATAATATCATTTTTTTGGCTTCTTGGGATTTTGGTTAGCACATATTAATGGATCTACATAAGGTATATCCCAAAAGTCAATTACCTGTTTCGTTCAAAAAATGATCTAAATTTATCATAACTAATACCTTGAAGTGCTTTGAAGTTATTTGAAACATTTCATTATTTCTCAAACTTTCCTATTCATCCTTAATTGTTTTCTTCTACCTTTATTGTTACCCTAAGTTCTATCATGATAATTTCATCGTAATGTTATCTGATATAATGTAGCAACTGGAACCATTTTATACATGTACTAGGTTCAATGTGTTATTTACTGAATGATAAATGTATGATCTCAGTATATTTTAGTATCCACCAAATTAACCCCATTTTATATCATAACTTATTGTTAAATCTGTCGACATAACCGTGACTAATTTCGTTCGTTTATCTACCTTGAATTTCACTAAGCAACTGTCAACATAATAAAACTTAATGATGATAGTCATGATTATTTCTTATCAATAAATTTAACATCTTGTTGGAAACATAATCTTAGGAAACTTTGTTTATCTATGAAAAAAGGTAAACTATTTGGCTCTCATTCTGTCTTCTGGAATAAATAAATACTAAATTTTTTTAGTAGGTTAAATGTTTTAATTTAGTTCATTGTTCAGATATGTTCTCTGATGTCAAATAAATTCAAATACTCAATTTAATTCAGTTTTTGATTGAGATCATGAGCCGATTGACATTAGATCACCAATGAAAACATGGAAACACTGGACTGCCGCTTCGTTCTATTGTGAGAATACTCAACAGTGCGCGTTCACGATCCCGCTCACAGGATTCAAATCCAGGGCCTTCAGTCTTGCGCGTGAACGCCGTGACCAGTGAAGATAATCCGCGTTGGATAGAGACAGGTATCTACCTCAGTACAATGCAAGATGGTCGCACGAGTTCGTGGATTGTTTGTGGTTAGATATTAAAACCGTTGGATTCCATCCAGCTCAGTAGTTTAGAGGTTGTGTTCGCATACGAGACTGAAGGACCTGGGTTCGAATCCCGAGAAACACGATCGTGATGTGCACTAATGAGAAGTCTCACAATAGGACGAAACGTCCGTCCAGTGCTTCCATGTTTTCAATGATGGTCTAACATCAATCGGTTCATGAACTCAATCAAATCTTAATAATCTCCCCAACCCTATACTGATAGTTCAGTTTTGATGGACAAACCAACATACGAGGAAAAATGCGTTTAATAGAACTTTGATTTGATATAACTAGTCAGAGTCTATTTTGGGATAATTGCATATAGAGGTGTAGTTAGACTCTCATATATATATTTAACAAGCTGGTTGTCAACATGCATTTGGATACTAAAGGATTTCCATCAAACTAATACAATAAATTATTGAGTTTAAGAAATAATGTACTTTAAAATATGGTAATCTGTTACTTGATCCATGTTAAGAGCTAATGACAATCATTTATCATAACCAATATATTTGACTGTATTTGAACGATAACTTTTCTTCAATTAACATATTTCATTTAGTCTAATACAACATAATAAGTTATATGTCAGTTTATATAAATTCTTTATATTTGATTGTATAACTGACATTTAAATATGGAAGATTCATAACTTGAAGATTTATTTATAAACACATTTATAAACAGAGAATCTATGGTTATTTGAACTGTCTTTAATCATTATTTTTTCTTAATAAAGGACACTGAAAAACTCAATCTACATTTTCTATTGAATTAGAATTTATAGATTTCAAATGGCTTGGAACAATAATTTTCTATCTCTACCATCAATTCTTTATTCTCAGCACTAATATATTTACTTACTATAGAAGGTTCTCAAAATTTTAAAGACAGTACACTTCATAATTTGTAGTTACTCGAACAAGTAGTGAATATCACGGGGGATTGGATGAATATTTTAACTTAGTAGTATACAACCAAAACCTCATCAGAAGCGTAACTTTAAAACATGACCTAAGTATTTATCAATCAGATAAGTTGGGTAATTTATATTAGTAGAATGTTATTTATAACACTTTTTAATTGAATATAAATGAAATGAATTTCAATTTCATTAAGAACATTAAAGAAAATAAAGTGATATTCTTTATAATCAAAGATGGATAGTGATGAGCAGTGGAATCCACGTACATATTTGTTTATAAAGTTTGTGATGTAAGATAACTTCGTGGCGATCTGCACAGGATGTAGATATGCTAACAAGAGATTGATCAATTGTAGTACTAAATATCAATAGGAAGATTTAAGTTAATGACACTAAGTGAATATAAACCTCACTACATTCCACAAGCAAGTGGCTATCAGAACTCAGTAGCTAAGTGAAAAACGTGACAGAGTGAACATCAACTCTGGAATGCACATATATCCAACTGACGAGCCCTAAATAAGATGAAGCGTGCGTCATAGATTCCACTGTTAGCCACTATACATCTTTGCTTAGAATGCTTGTGACTTAAGACAATATCGAGGCATTCCTCACAGGATACATATATGCCAACAAGACACTGATCACTTATAGTGCTAACCATCAATAGGAAGATACAAGTAAATAATACCAAGTGAATTTCAAGAGATATTCTCTCTTATAATTATTGTTAAACTATATTGCATAATTTCAGTCATAATTTGTTCCTTACGGCACTAACCAAGATAAGAAGATAAGAGAAATCGATTAAATATATCTAACATCAAATTTTATTTATACACCTAATATATTGCAAAATAATCTATAACATCAGTATAGTAGTCAATACTTAACAAGAAATATTCTTCGTATGATCCTTCTATTATTATTATTATTATTATTATTATTACCATTATTATCATTATCCCTAATAATAATGCATACATTAGAGAATAATAGTAATAATAATAATAATCTTAATTAGGTTATAACGCCTTAGGCAAATGAGTTCAGGTAATAAAATCAAGTTCAATTGGATAGTCATATAGACTATTAAGGTTAACTAAGGTTGTTTCATTAAAATATACACATACGAATATAAATCTCTAAAATTGGCAAATGATCAATTAGTAAATTGTATATATGTAATAAAAGAATTTAAAATCAGTCAAAAACAAATTTACCTTCAATTCTCTTCATTGGTTTTGGTTTCGGTGGATTATTAATCTAACAAGAGAAATTTTTTTGAAAACTTTATTGAATAGGTCAATAAATTAAAAGAATTAAACAAGAAATAAAATTGAATATTGAATGATATTTTCAAAAGAAGCTCAATTAATATATTAAACACTGAACATCGGAAAACAGATCATGCGTCAATTTAAGCTAGACCACTCTGGAGGCACTCCAAAGCCGTTTAATCTTGGTAAGGGACTCCTCAGCAGTGCACATCCATGATCCCGCCTCGCGAGATTCGAACCCAGGACCTATAGACCATTGAGCTAGCCGGCAACCAGTGGTTTTAATGTCTAACTTCAACTAATCCACGAAATTGAGTGCACATCAACCATTGTCTTCAGTGAGTTACTATCTCACAATAAAACTAGTTGAATTCCACCGGTCACTGCTTCTCACTAGAACTCCAGGATATATCTCTTGAAGCCAGTCACTGGTGAGCATATGTTGATTGATATCAGAAGGGCTTTTTTGCATATTTCGTGGATCGGTTAAAGTTAGACATTAACACCGTTGGATGCCGGCTCATTGGTCTAGTGGGTTCTAATCCTGCGATGCGGGATCGCGGATGCCCACTGCTGAGGAGTTTCACAATAGAATGAAACGGCCTTGGAGTGCTTCCAGTTTTTCCATGGTGGTCTAGCTTTAATTGACTCATGATCTCAACCATTGAAATTACTATAATATCCACAAAAGCCCTTCTGATATCAATATATATATAAGAATTTGTAATGTAGCTTTACTGAATTTATATTTTCCAAGTATTTTCACTAGTCACATTATCACAGTTTTATTCAAAACTATAATGATAAGTACTTTGATCTGTATTTAGTTCAGTCATTTGAAGATGGAACCTATGTCAAAATGGTTATTTAAGGTTTCTATCTTAAATGAGCTTATTATTACTATAGTTTTCAAACGGTTTTTAAATGCTACAACATTATTCAACATAGTAAAAATTTAAATGTTTAACTGTTTTGTTCAAAATTTAAAAATTTATTACAACTTGGAAGAACATCACAAAAACAGTCATTAGGTCTAGTAACCTTTATGGTGTTTAAGAACAACTTGGGTCTATATATGTTCAGCAGTAGCCTGAACAATTTATCGATTGTATCCCAGTTCAAGAAATCAATGTCATCTAACAACATATTGTCACTTCTGTTTTTATTTTACGCATATTATTAGAATTTTTATAAATGGCTACCTGTATCGATATCAACAAAAGCTTTATTATGAATTTCCCGTTAATGTCACCTAGAAATATCATTTGTAATTTAAATTTAAAATTAGCTAAAAGTCAACCGGCTAAAAGAACACTAGTAGGATTGTCTATAGAACAATTAGTTTCAAATTTGAAGTTAAACTTCTCCATATAATCAAGTCGATAATTTCAACACTTCACTTCAAGATAACTCATTTGTTATCATGAAAAGAAGTAAATAATACCATTAGTCTAAAGTCACTTGGTGTTGATTGCTTATATCTTTTTGTTTAGTACTGCAGTTGATCATTGTCATGCTGGCGTATGTGCATCCTGTGTGAATCGCTTCGATATTGTCTTAGGTCACAAGCTTTATAAGGAAAGATACAAACAAACAACACCAAGTGAATTTAAACTTCACCTCATTCCACAAGCAAGTGGCTATCAGGACTCAGTAGCTAAGTGGATAACGAGATGGTGTTTGAGGTGAACGGTATTGGGTTTGAGTCCCAGACTGAACATCGACTCTAGAATGCAGTCACATCCAGCTGACGAGTCTCAAATAGGATGAAACGCGTGTTCCGTATTCCACTGTTAACCCCTATCCATCCTTGCTTATAATATCAATAGTCCTGTTGTGAATCCCAAAATAAGAGAATATAACAACAAAATTTTATTTATGAATGCATTCCACTAACTAGAGGCAGAAACGAAAACATTAATATTCAAAAAGTCAAACCATACAGATTAAGAATTAATCTAAGAAGGTATAAACATGGGGTGCATAAGAAAGTATGATGTACACAGATATGATTTAGAAGAGCTCAAATGAACTACCATATTGTCGATATATGAAAACTTAGGGAAAATTATCTATAAAAAAGTAGTTACACTTAATTTTATCATTTGATACATAGTATTGTGAAATTAGATTTAAAAAACTGAGAACGGATTATATAACCATATATGAGAACATTTTGGAGTTAGTACAGTTCACAAATCAACCCCGTCAATTCGATCAATTTTCATTTTCATTAAATGATAAAACAGTGAGCATAGACTCATTCATCATTATTTGGTGACAAACTGAGAAATAACGCTAGAAACACTAAGTTGGACAGATATGACATATCTCATATTCATCAACGAACGCATATTATGAAATATACATCACGAAATATCATCATTCATGTCAGTGCATATAAATTGTAACGAATATTAATTCAAAGGATAAAATATCGAAATTCTAGAAGGATTACATTTTTCCTCATATTTTTTAGATTATATCTAGCTGTGGAATCAAGTTCATATATCTCATCATATTTGGATATGTTAATAAATATTTGAACTAAATAAGTTAATCGAAAACTCATTAGGGTTTCAGTCAGTCAATCATCTACAGCGTAGAATCAGGCCTATATATGCATCGGTCCCAGTTGCCATATCTCATTAGCACAACAAGATGAACACCGAATTCATAGAAGTAGCTGAGTCAATGGTGGATATACATAAAAGGAAGATTGTGTATAAGGATATAGTACAAGAAGAAAGAATTAGTTAGTAGAAAGAAAGATATAAGTCAATTTTAATCTCATAGTTCAAGGGAAGACAGAGACTGTATACACCTACGCCTTTGTGATCGATTCTGAGCCATCATCAGGAATTCGAGTTATAACAAAAATTATTGGAGTCTCAGAGTGAATATTAAAATAAACATTGGTCACAGTGAATTGATTAGCTCATATAGATAACAATAAAGGTTATAACCCGAAAGTGTAAAGAAAAATTAGTATATCAATGATAACATACATCAAAAGTTAAATAACCTAAGAAGTATTTTAATTCAAGAAATGTTTTATGTAATAGATAGTAATGCTAAATATGATACTTTGTAACTCTTAAACTATCAGTGATATTTAACGTCAATTATCATTGCTCGATAAACTAATTGATATACTCAAAACAATTTATAATCAAGTTACGTTGATTTCTATTCTTTTTCACTTCAGTTCATATTTTCAATTAAACTTACAATATGTCTCCGATGTTCGTGATCTACCATATCTAACAGTGGATAAGCAGCTTGTACATCCTCTAGTGTTACAACATTCGTGAATCCAAGACTGTAAATTTGTAGGGAAAAAAAATAGAAACAAATATTAGAATAAGCAAAGATGAGTGATGGCTAGCAGTGGAATCCAGACTCATGTTTCGTCCTGCTTCATAGTCGTCAGCTGGATGTACCTGCATCTCAGAGTTGATGTTCACTCTAAGACTCGAATCCAGTACTGTTAACTTCAAACGCCATCTCACTATCCTCTTAGCTACTAAGTTCTCATAGCCAATAGCTTGTGCAATATATATTTTCCTGGAACACCATTACAACCAAGACCTAGGCTAAATTTTACCTAAATGTTTTGCAGATACTGATTGGCTGAAAGTGATAAGATTCTTTCAGTCAACTCTATTTCCTTAAGAGCACTCATAGGCATATTTAAACACGTACAATACATATATAAAGCTTATCAAATTTATAATTGAATAGTAAAGAAATAATATTAACAGTAATTATTAAAGAATGACTTTGTTTGTAAAGTATGGTTTCAGAACTTTTCAGTGCTCTATAAATACTCAAACGATACTATAATTATTCAAATAAGATTATAGTGGATAGATAAATTGTATATACATCTATATTCATATGCATATATCATTTTTATTCTTGTTTCGCTCTCACCAGTAGTCTACAATCGGGGCCTCACGGTGAATCAAATCAAGGAATTTTGGATGTCACTTGACAAACACCATACAAATAAGTCGTTGAATAGTATCCAGTTAATAACATTTTCCAATGTAATAATCTACTTTAAAATTTCATAAACACTAGGCATTAAACACCAGTTTCAATAATTTTCTTACTGTAAACAATACCATAACAGAACTGTTAATTTTGCATCTAATCAATCAATATGAATACGGACAAGATCAACCAGTTTATTCATAGTTAAATAATATACCCTTGTGGGCCAGGGTAATTTTACATTGGTTTTCAGGAGAACCAGACACCATCCAGACTTTCACGTGGTAACCCAAATAGTACAGATCAATCCCGTTTAACGGGAGAGCCAGACGCCGTCCAGGCTTAAATTTTATAACCCGAGCAGTACAGCTCAACCCCGCTTCACAGGAGAACCAGACACCATATAGGCTTTAACGCCACAATATGAATAGTACAGCTCGACTCTGTGACGCAACCGCATAGGTACGAAGTACCCGGGTGGACCATTCGCACCATTCATATACACATTCACGTCACATGTATAGTTATTCCGACCAATGATCGCGCGAATCAATTATACACAGCACGAATAGGCCAAAGTTTACCTATTCTGCTTACACGACAGTCAAACTCATTGATGTTAGCAATGGCGACATGCCTTACAATGTCGCAATGACAATGGCCTTTGGGAATACTGAAAAGCAACCACCAATATGGATGAAATCGATTAACCAGAAAACCAACTTTGTGCATGAACAGTCAGCAAAACTTGCCAAAGCGATGCCGAACCATCCACAATACCAATGGCGAACCTCCAGTCTTATATGAGACATTCAGCTCTACATAGCCATATAGCCTAATAAATTAATACAGTAATCTAATAATCTATAATAGTGATATCAATAAGAATACTAAAAAAGTGATCACTTCATAGTACCAACTACTACACACTAGTCCTTAATTGAGTTACTTTGTTTAAGTAGATTCAATTCAAAATTAGTTTTCATAACAAATTAACTTAGACTGTAAAATTTCCGAGAGTGAAATAATTCCTGACAGCTTTTAAGTTTTAATTTTTGGATTCTTCAACAATGCACACCTACAATTTCACATTGAACACAATTTAATACTTTCATAATTCCGTAGTGAATGAATTACATTAGATCAATGAGTCAAAATCATACAGCTCATATTTCTAATTTAAATTAGTTTACATTGTAATGAGATATTTTATAATGTCACTGATGAGTATCTATCTAACTTCTAACATTAACTGAATTTTATGTTTCATTAACTATGACTTAGGGAACTTATCTCTACATCGATCATCTATGAGAACATAATTAATATTTACTTAATAGGTTATTGAAATTTCACAGATTGACGTCATGAGTCAATTGGAGATAGACCAACATGGAAAACCTGGAAGCACTGGACGGCCGTTTCATCCTAGTATGGGACTCCTCAACAGTGCGCATCCACGATCCTGCACCCAGCGGGATTCCAACCCAGGACCTATCAGTTTCGCGCCAGGCGCTTAACTAACTAGACCACTGAGCCGTCATCCAATGGTGTAAATGTCTAACTGAAATTTCTAAAATCTCCACAAACCTCATCTGGTTATTGAAATACCTAAATGATCAATATTCTACATGATTAATTAATCTTATTATTACTGATTGAAAAACTTTCTGTTATGCCCTACATTTTAAAAATTAATCTTGCATTTTTGTAGTTTAAATACATAGTTAAATGTCAGAATGGGTTTTTGTGGAGAGTTTTAGAAATTACACAGGTTGAAATCATGAGTCAATTGAAGCTAGACCACCATTGAAAACCTGGAAGCACTGGACGGCCGTTTCGTCCTGGTATGGGACTCCTCAGCAGTGCGCATCCACGATCCCGCACCACGCGGGGCTCGAACCCAGGACCTACTGGCTTCGCGCGCGAGCACTTAACCATTAGACCACTGAGCCGGCATCAATATTTTGATGTATATATTTTTCTAATATATATTATATTGTATAACAATTGTCGATCCCACAGTGTGAGAGATAGAGACGAAAAATATTTATATCATAACGGTTTAGCTTTACCTCACCAGTAACCCCTTCTTCCTCCTCCTCCTCCTCCTCCTCCTATTAATACTACTACTACTACTACTATATTGACAGCTCAAATCACATTTATAATAGTTATTTATATGTCATGAATATTGTGAAAAGTCCATAAATGATTCTATGTGAAATTTGAAATTGACTATTCAATGTATATCGCATCATCTGAATATCATATGATAATTTACCATCCTCAATTACATAATTGGTTAATCGGTGTCAGTATCAAGTTTGAACTTGATAGATTCAAATAAATTGATCATTGGATAAGGAATTAATAATAAATATATTTTTCTTATATCCTAATGAGTAGAAAAATTGTGTTTTTGATATTTCGTGGCCTAATGTAAGCCACTACTCTAAAGAAGTGGCTTATGCTAAGTTACAAAACTTCAGAAATTCAATTTTTCTACTCATTAGGATATAAGAAAAACTAATTTTTTGATTGAGATCATGAATCGATAAATGTTAGACCACCATTGAAAACATGGAAGCACTGGACGACCACTTTGTCCCAGTATGAGGCTCTTCAGTAGTGCGCATCACGATCCCGCCTCGCGGGATTCCAACCCTGGTTCGTCAGCCTCGTGTGCGAACACGTAACCTCTAGACCACCGAGCCGACATCCAACGGTGTTAATATCTAACCACAAACAATCCACGAAGTCGTGCGACGATCTTGCATTGTACTGAGGTAGATACCTTTCTCTACCCAACACGGACTATCTCCACTGGTCACGGCGTTCGCGCGCAAGATTGAAGGCCACAGGTTCGAATCCTGCGAGGCAGGGTCATGGATGCGCACTGCTGAGGAGCCCTACAATAGAACGAAACGGCCGTTCAGTGCTTCCAGGTTTTCCATGGTGGTCTAGCTTCAATTGACTCATGATGTCAACTATTGAAAGATTATTCTTTTTGAACTTATTCTTTATAATGAACTAAAATCAGCTGATTAGGTATCGAAAATAAGGAAGTATCAAATAATAACTTTTTTTCATTATTAGCTTGGATCAGTTATTGGATTTTCACTTGGTGATAAAAAAATGTACCATATTATGAATAAAAATTTAATGTTCTGAATTCGATTGTTTGATTGAATCCATATGTGTTAACAGTTAGGAAGTTCTAAATTAGATTGGAACATTTATATTATTCTCTTTAGTTTCCATCGGCTTTCTTACTGATATCAGTTCATTATGAAAACCATATTTACACATCAACACTATTTATTGATAATAAATATTCACTATGGTTTTCTTATTTATTTATTATCCATAATCTAAACATGTTAACTATTGAATCTTATTCAGTCTACTATATACTTCTATATTTTACTTTTCACATAAAAGAAAATCTAACCAAATGACATTTGTAGGGTGTTTCTCTTCATCATGGTCATCTATCTCATTTAACATAGACTTTTATAATCAACCTATTGTCTTAAATTACTCATTAATTCACTATTATATACATCAATAATTAGTGTTAAATAACCAATCGTTTGAATTATGACTTTTTCATCATTAATACTATGTATTTACATTTTTGAAGAGATTTGTGCACAAGAATGTCCCATTTCTCTATGATGTTTAGCTAAATGTTAGTTTGTGATGGTACATTGCTAAACAAACTGTGTACAAATAATTTATAATTTATACATATATATTATTCATATGTATGAAAACGAATAAATAAAGCGGTATCCAATAAATTCAATTAAGTTTAGTTGTGTACAATTCATAACTGAATGTACAAATGAACCATCCACAGATCCTATAATGATTGCTATTCATTGGTCTCATACTAAGTATTTAAAAAATTTAGGTAGATTACCATTACTGTTATCAGCACAAAAAGCTTAAGAAGATTCCTCAGAATGAATATAGTCGACATAACAAACTGATTATAGTTAGATGCTCATTGGAAGATAGGAGTAAATGTCTAGCTACTTCATCCAAACTGAACACTTCTTGACGGTCTACATCTACTATCATGATGCGTAACGAACACGGTTATTCAAGATGTTGTGACAAGAGTATCACCTTTAAACTAATGGTGTGTGTTATATTCCGATAAGAATAATGAATGGTAATTCTTGGGATCCATTTATGGGCCAGTACTATGAGTATATTTTTATCGTATAATTGTTATGTAACTAAACTGCTCATATTCATGTCCCTCTTATTATGAGTTTTATTTTGACCTATGAACTGTTATTATGTAACTTACCATTCTTGAGTTATACCCAGTCAATCAATTACTATCTCCCATATTCACAGTCACTTTTGGTCAGATCTTGTACAAATGTTGTTTCATATTTTATGGTACGTTGTGTTCTGTCTGGTTGATATATAAACCGAGTATGTTTGAAATAAATGATTCATATGGCAGAGGCTGAGACTTGTGTTCTGGACTTAACTGGATGGGCTAGACAGGAAGCGAGACCAATAAGGACTCTAGGTTGCTCGCACGTCACGCGTCACTGGTTCGATCGATAATTCGCTGCCCTCTGATTGGCGGTATCGTTGCGTTATCCAATATACAGGGCACACAGGATCACAAGTCATAACAGTGTGACAGTTAATAATTAAAAACTAGGGCCCTGGCTCACTGGTCTAGAGGCTAAGTGTTCACGCGTGATGCCGAAGGTCCTGGGTTCGAATCCTATGTATAGAATCGTGGGTGCCCACTACTGAGGCATCATATACTAGGACAAAATGGCCGTCCAGTGCTTCCATGTTTTCAGTGGTGGTCTAACATTTATCGACTCATGATTTCAATCACAAATTTAAGGTATTGTTTCCTTGTCGATTGAGACAAATATCAAACATTTTAATGAAATTGTCGTGTTATCTGAGTAAGGGTCACATAAACAATAATAATTTCAATGTGCAGTTTAGACAAGAAATCCAGATATTACTAGAATAATTACCATTGTGAAATGTTCTAAAATCACTTGACAACATTTAAATTATGATTTTTGTAAAATGAATTTAAGGGATTTGTCAATAGTATATTGTCATTGAAATATTTTACACACTGAACTACGTCTAAATATATCTTCAGCTTGCTATGAAACCATTATAAAAACACACCAGCGTTATCTTCGAGAAAACAAACAGTGGAATAAGGGTGTGATTGATACTCCTTAAAAAGTTACTAAAAAATTAAACCACTGCGTATTGTTCTCGAGCAGTTATTTCCAATAACTTATATTTTGCTTTTTAATCTTAAAACACTTATAAGTAGTATATATATATATGCAAAAAATTAATTAACATAACTTACTCGTTCGCCAATTTAATAATATTCCCTTGTCCAATAAATAATACACATTTATCATGATATTCTTTGTAAACTGACAATGGACTAGGCGCTAGAATAACTTGATCTGGATGTATCTAAATATAAATGAATTAGTAAAGTTAATGCGAATGGTTACTTAATTATAATGTTTTTAAAAAATGTTATTATCATACATTCATATCATCAATCTGCATAACAAAAATGTTAACATACATATATGTCATCCTATTATTGATAACTTCTTAGAATGTACTAGCCAGTCTGCGATTTACATTAATATCAGTCCATTCAAATTCTTAATAGTATAAACAGAATAATTACAAGATGATGATTTCATTCGACTTACAAAAATGTCAAGACTATAATTCACGGATGAACCAATCAGATTGACGATAACAGGTCTTGAATTTTGGAGTGAAATTCATTGATTCATTCATTTGGTTAAATAGATTTTTTGGCATTATTAGCTGATGTCAGTTCGTGATGAAAACCCTATATCTGATTCCTAACCCTAACTATCAGCTATAAATATTAATCCTTATTTATAACCCTCATTTAGCCATAGTATTTAGGCGGACATTCTCAAGATCACTTTAGCATCGCTCAAAGAGCGTCCATAAATTATAGCCTCATCACAAAAATGACCTAACACTAATGACGAACATTTCAACTATTGAAATTTCTAAAATCTCCACAAAACCCCTTCTGAGAATTTTAAATGTTCTACATCAATAGCACTTCTGTTATTTAGTGTATTACTAATAAAGGAACTAAGTTGAGGTTTTACGATGAACTAAGAATACTGGAACAAAGGCTCATTGATTTTCATATTATTCATAATTTTCATAATAAATTAATAGCTTTGGACATGTTTCACTCTAATGACAAAAAACAATTCTTTCTAATGATTTTTAAACGTTTCAAGCATTATATGAAATTTTTGTAGGCTTGTTTAAGTACTTTTAATGGTCAAGATCATGAGTCAGTTGAAGCTAGACCACCATGGAAAAACTGGAAGCACTGGACGGCCGTTTCGTCCTATTGTGGGACTCCTCAACAGTGTTTAATTACTGTTATATGAATCTTCTCTATTTATGTATTACCATCAACAAACCTAATTGTCTCTTTCTCGTTCGGCTTGATCCTATGATGTAATTGTATCATAATAACAATATGACTAAATAGAAAACAATGGTCGAATAAGAAGTAAGCATTAAATACTTGATCCCTTACAAGGATCAAATGAGGACTGTTAGATCAAATTCTCATTATCATTTGACCAATGACCTAAGATCGAATAGTTCACATTTGATGATCAAGTAAATCCACATTATAATATAAATATCATTTCATAATAGGTTCAGTCTTTGAGTAATGTCATAAGTTGACATTACTGACAGATCTGTTGTTGAAGTGTAAAAAATATTCAATCCATCATGATTTTCAATGAATTCATTACTAAAATTAACCTGTAACATAAATTGACTACAAAAAAAACAATGAATAAAATCTATAAGCGATCCATTATTATTATATTTATCATTCGTATTATTAGACTAAACTAAGTTGACCTTTATTAATTAATCAAAGTTAATATATAAACCTGTCAATGAATAATTCACTTCAATACTCAATTAATAAACGTAACAATCTATTCAAATGATTAAATATAGCGCATTTAATGAATTAAAACACTCTATCTATCTATCTATCTATCTATCTATCCACACATCTATCTATCTATCTATCCACACATCTATCTATCTATCTATCTGTCTATGTATATATCTTTATTATCTAAGAATCAAAGTTCAATGTATTTTCAATTATTTTACAATAAATAATAAATGACATTTATTCAATCATTAATTGTAAATTATCAATTTATAGATTGAATTATTTTATGTTATCCCATTGAAATAGATTACTAAGAACAGTTCCAAATATTAATTTAGAATACTTTTGTATCAAGACAATATCAAGACAATACGTACAGGATACATATATGTCAATAAAAGACTGATCAATTGCAGTACTAAACATCAATAGGAAGATTCAAGTAAATAATACTAAGTGAATCTAAATGTTACTCTATTTCACAAGCAAGTGGCTATCAGGACTCAGTAGCTAAGTAGATAATATGATAGCGTTTAAAGTGAACGGTACTGGGTTCGAGTCCCAGAGTGAACATTAACTCTAGGATGGAGGTACATCCAGCTGACGAGTCTCAAATAGGATGGAAAGTGTGTACTGGATTCCACTGTTAGCCATTATCCATCTTTGCTTAGAATGCTCGTGAATTAAGGCAATATCGAGACAATACGCATAGGATACACATATACCAACAAGACACTGATTAATTGCAGTATTAAACGTTCATGAGAATATTCAAATAATTAATATCAAGTGAATTTAACTTAATAACGTTGTACTGAAATATTGGTTTCCATTAGATTCACATCATGTTTTACTCTAATATACAGTAATATTTATATGCATATATGAAATTATTAAACTAACCAAGGTACTCTATGCATTCAGTGATAACAGTGGGACAGATTATATAAAATGAATATAATAAATAAAGAGTACGAATTAATACTGTAATGACAGGTGTACTAGTTGTGGTAAGAATAGTAATGGCTCGTATCCATGTTTCATAATGGGAATTAGGTCAATGATTTGAAAAACATAGATACAGGAATAACAATGATAAATACAACGAGATTACGTAATAGGAAGTGTTCAAATAATTGAACAATGAAGCATATATTTTAAAAATTTAAGAAATGGGACTAGCGAAAAACAAACGAACATAGAGTATAGAAATTAGTAATAAAGAGAATCTTTTATTAAGGCTAGTTTGACCAAAGAAGAGATAAAGGTGTTATAAGTGTTTTTATGAATACAGAGTAATAGATTACATAAATAAACAGTATAAATTATAGTTTTTTATGAATGTTATTTCAGTATTTATATTTCTTCAAATCATTGGCCTAATTCCCATTATGAAACATATCCACAAGCTTTCATTATTCTTATCACATATAGTGCACATGTCATCACATTATCAATTTTGATGGGGTTTTGTTCTCTGAGCTGGATGGTTTAGTCATGGAACTTTAATCGTTCTTCTAAACAACATCATCAACACTCTTTACTTATTATGTTTATTTTATGTAATCCATCCCACTGTTATTACTGAAGTTCATAGACTGGCTTCATTGGTTTAATGATTTTGTATATGCATATAAATATTACTGTATACTAGAATGAAGCCTAATGTAGATCTAATCGAAAACAATATTATTCGTTTAAATATATTGTTCTAATTCACAATATGGAATTTTTTTTAATACTGAAAAATATTAGAAAGTTTACTATACAATATGTTTTACATTCTAATATATGTCTATGATTCACAGACTTAAAGTGCTCGCATTAAAGGATAATGATAAAATGCTTTCACACAAATATTGATAATGTACACAACTATTGTTTCATCATAAATAAATGTCATATTTTCAATGGTTAAGATCATGAGTCAGTTGAAGATAGACTACCCTGGAGAACCTGGAAGCACTCGACGGCCGTTTCGTCCTATTGTGGGACTTCTCATCAGTGCGCACCCACGAACCCTCCCCCTACGAGATTTGAACTCAGGACCTACTGGTTTCGCACGTGAGCACTTAACCACTAGACCACTGAGCCGGCATCCAACGGTGTTAATGTCTAAATTCAACTAATCCACGAAATTGAGCGACACATCCAGTGGGTCCTGGGTTCGAATCTCGCAAGGGTGAGGTCGTGGATGCACACCGCTGAAGAGTCCCACAATAGGACGAAACGGCCGTCCAGAGCTTCCAGGTTTTCCATGGTGGTCCAGCTTCAACTGACTCATGATCTTAACCATTGAAATTACTATAATATCCACAAAAGCCATCTGATATTAAATGTCATATTGTAATATTGTTAAATACCTAAATGTTTATGGATTATTGTATTTATTATATTATCATTCAATTATAATAATTTACTGGTTAACCTTGTATCTAGAATAACAGAAGTAATGATAAATTACTACTTCAGAACATTTACTATCAGTATGATGTTTCTTAATCAGTAATATCTAAGCTTTTGTTAAAATAATATCAGTGAAAAAAATTTAAATACAATTAACAAGTGGTTAAACCTTAACTCTTCTTACTTAACAATAGCATAATGATATACAATATGAGTTGTAGGATTGAAGATGCAACTTTTAGACAATTGAATAAGTTCATTCAATTTTCGATCATTATTGAGTAGTGTGATAACTGTTATAGATTCACTCAGTTCTTTGGTATCACTTAGTGTTATTTGAGTGGAATAGTTAAATATTTGTTTTTGCTCTTAAATGGATCATTATTCAAAAGCTTCGCGAAAATATCGTTCTGTAATAGTAATCTATTACAGAACGATATTTACATATATAAACACTCATAAACCAGTTGAGTCCACAATCTACATCAAAATATACCTTTTATTTAGTAGGTCAGTAGACTATTGATATATTAATCTAAAGGTAATTGGTTCCAAAATATTACTGTACATTTTTACAATGAGTCTATTATCCTGTTAATGATAGAAAAAGAAATCCCCTGTTTAGTTTCTTTTTCCTTTATTTTATAAAGTAAAATAAAGTCTCTTTTCAAATTCAAACTTTTGATCTACGCTCATAACTGAACAGATAATTATTGTTCAGAGGCTTTTGAGCTTATAACTAATACAATACCATTAAGCCACTAAAATAAAATCTAACAGTTCATTTTTTTCTAAATAAGAATAAAACACTTGTCCAGTACTATTTAAGAAATTGCATCAGCCCTAGTGGGTTAATGCCTGACAAAATCTTACCATGGATTCAGGAAAGTCAGTTGAGTTTCACTAACTTGCATCACTTAAAGAAGAGGTATTATGTTCACCTGTCAACCGATGGTTGAGTATACTGAGTAGCAATCCTCTTTTTATTACTCTATGACTGTAAAGCATAATCTATGAAAGTAGAAGACATGTATAAGCTTCAGATATTCTATTCTTGGTACATTTGAAACATTACTTGCATATCGTGAAACAGTAAAGTGAGAGATTCCTAGAATTGGAATAAGTTACTAGAACAATATGACAAATAAGTTGATAAAATAGTCAAACCATGATTTTGTTAAACAATATTTGGTAGTAATCACAACCCAAATGTCTTTTGAACTTCCAATGGCTCAGTAAGAAACAAAGTAATGAGTCAGAAGATTGTGTCGATTCGTATATTATCAATGTATTCCCATTCTCATTACCGTTAAACTCCGTTTATTTTTATAGATTAGTCCATAAAAATATAGGATGATTTGTTTTGCCCAACAATTATTTCAAATAACAATGAAATAAGCAATGATGGATAGTAGCTGACAGTGGAATCCAAGACGCGCGTTTCGTCTATTTGGGACTCATCACCTGGATGCACCTGTATCTCAGATTTGATGTTCACTCTGCGACTCGAACCCAGTACCATTCACTTCAAACGTCATCGCGTTATCCACTCAGCTACTGAGTCCGGATAGCCACTTGCTTGTGCAATCGGGTAAAGTTGAAATTCACTTAGTATTGTTCGGCTCGTATCTTCTCATTGTGAATTAAGGAAATATCGAGGTATACGCACAGTATGCACATGTGCCAATAACAGACTGATCAACTGCAGTCTTAAACCTCAATGGGAAGATACAAGCCAAACAATACCAAGTGAACAATGAATTAATTTTGAAAATTTACCAGAACACTTATCATAAATTAAGAATGTATGAAAAGTACAAGAAAAGTTTTGACCTTAATCTTTTGTCCTTCTTCTGTAAATTACTAAGAAATGATATAATTTTGAAATCAAACATTTTTAATCACCTCAGTTTCTTAAAACTTCATGTGACAACATCTGTTTTTATACTTAAGAAGGTGTCTTATGGAGATGCATGTATTTCATAGTTTATAACATGGATGGATCTTAACTAGAGAAGTAGATTGCTTTATTCTAGTATGAGACTACTCATTTATATGCATCTGCAAATTTACTATAAAAAAATCAAGTACTGAACCTTCAGAATTAGTTTAGTTTGCTAGCATTAAATAATTTTCAATGTTTACCCAAAATAAAGTCAGTTTATGATTTAAACTATAAACTATAATAATTTCAGTAGTTAAAATCATAAGTCAATTGAAGCTAGACAGCCACGGAAAACCTGGAAGCATTGGACAGCCGTTTCGTCCATTGTGGGACTCCTCAGAATCTTCATACTAATATTTGTGTAAAAAACGTTTTAGGTAATCAATAACTATATTACGTAAGAATATTCCAGTAATATCGTAGAATTATTCCCGAAAAGTGACCTTTGTCACAAAATCACTATCATCATTTCTCTTCACTTATAAGTCACAAGTAGCTTATGATTACATTTTTAAGATATATTTATGAATAATGAGCAAACGTATCACAGTCACTCACGTCAGTCAGCTACAGAACTTGGTACATATGTACATTGCCTCAAGTTATCACATCATAATAGTACATTAAGATAAAAAAAATTATCTAGACCAATACTAGAGTAATATTACTGGTAACGGTATCAATTAAAATATAGACAAGTTTGAGCATAGGCAATGTAATCCACGAAGAGTTAATTTATGCAATAGGAAAATATAAAACAATTTTAAAACGAAAGACCTAAGGCAATTCAAAATGTAATTATCTCAGCTCCAATATGACTGATTCTCAGCCTTAACACTGAACGTATCAAACGATTGGTTTAGATAATCATAGGTAGTCTGGGCCCAGCAACATAGCTCAACCACCTGTCAGCGTATTTGTCAACTAATGTTAAGTACTGATTTGTCCGCCCTTAGCTTTAATCATTCAAATTTAATTAAGTATAAGCTAAGTATAAATATAAACTTAATTGATTTTAATTCATTTAGCCCAACATCAAGATAAAAGACTTTTATGTAAAGCATCTTAAAAACCGTATATAATATGGAAAATCGAAAGGATGTTTACGATATTCTCTGGCTGAAAAAGTCTAATTGAATAAAATTCATCAAGAATTTTTCTTATTTAAATCAATTAAATACAAAGATTGGAAAGTAGTTGCATCCATACACCATGGTATTAACTCCATCCCAAGCTGAAAACAATATAACATAAGGAGATTTGTGGAGATTGCAGAATTTTCAGAGTTTAATTCACTAACTGATCTTATCTAGACCATCATTAAAAACCTGGAAGAACTGGGTGGTGTTCCATCCCAGTATTAAACTTCTCAGTAGTGCTCATCTACGACTCCGCATCCGGGAATCGGACCTAGTACCTTTGGTCCCCTGTGTTAACACTTAACCTCTAAACCCTTGAGCAAGCTATAAATGGTTATTTACAATAATTATACTTTATGAAACACTATACATGCATATCTTTGTTTGAGAAAAAAGCCAACAACATCATGACTTACATTTATGCCGAACCATTTAGAAACCATTTGTACTTTTGTTGCAGCATCTCCAGATCCATTAGTTACTAACGCAACTGGAACACGTAATTCTTTTTTATCAGGATCACATAATAATTTGAATGCTTCGGCTGCTTGAGGCAAAACTTCTAATCCACGACCAAGTACTCCGTCAATATCGAATAATAAACCGAAATTCGGCTATTAAATTATAAAAAGTCACTTTCAAAGTATCATGAAAATTGATAAATAAATGAACAAATAACATTCTAGTAATACAGTATTTAAATCATTACATTAGAACCATCAAAATATCCAGGTACTGTTTTCTGATCATGAAGATGTCAACATCTGGGGAGAAACAGGAGAAACAGTGGACAGCTAGGATGAATCTAGACGACCTAGAAAGGCGCAAGTAAGAAAGTAACAATTTTCTGATACATGTATCATAAATGTGCCATGATATTGACTAATCTGCCAACATACTTCAACACTATAAATGACCAAAATTGGAAAATTATAAAATATTTTATTCTTATTAATAATTAAATTAATAATAGGACGAAACGGCCGTCCAGTGATTCCAGGTTTTCAATGGTGATCTAACATCAATCGGTTCATGATCTCAATCACAAACTTAACAATCTCCACAACCCCTATACTGATAAATTAATATTGTTAGGGTAAATCTTTAAAAATATTTTTTTAATATTTTTATAAGATCAAAAATATTCAGGGCAAAAATGCTCTTGACGATTGTTACTGTAGCTGAGTTCATGAGTTGATTTAAGCTAGATTACTATTGAAAACTTTGAAGCACTGAACAACCCTTTCGTCCTAGTATTGGACTCTTCAGCAATGCGCATTCACGATCTCTCATTCTGATAATAATTGTTTCTATGGTAAAAACAATAATAACAGTAATACCACATTTATAGTTAGTGATTTATTAGTCCAAATGATTTTTGGTCTGTGAGGAAATATACTAAAAACTTACTGACAGTACTTAGCTATACATGATAGTTGATGAACAAATGGGTTTTTAGAAAAACCATAGGTAGAAAGACTGGGTTCCTACTAATATAATCGGACTATTCATTGTACTATTTGTGTAGAACTTGATAGATTCTCAGTAATTTTATTACAAAGATCTACTTAATGTTCTCGCCACTATATGTTGTATAAAATGATACTTACCTTATTTAATATTTATGGTAACATGAGATTATTCAACAACATTTCCATGATTACGTCAGATAGTAATGTCAATACACATATGATAAAAATATTCAATGACTATCATCTCATTTGAAATTACAATGATTGGCTATGATTGACAAAAAGTACTTAAAAACACTCCAGTTTAAAAACTGCATTTCATAAACTCACCTCTTGTTGACTATCTGAGTCTTCAGAACAATCTGTTGAATCGTCATGATTCTCATAAGTAAATATTTCCGCTTTTCCTTTATTCCCTATTTCTGTCATCATAAGTTTTCTAGGAGATTCACTTGCGTTTATATTTCTGACAATTTCTGATTAACCTTCAATATTCTAAAGAAAAGAATAAAAAGGACTTTCTTATTGAATTTCGAATAAGTAAACAAAAATATGTACTGCTATACAAATGGTCACTGAAGACTATCGAATTTTATAGTTAACCTCACTAACTATCCTTATTAAAATAATGCCTATTTCACTCAGATTAATTCGTAATGTTAACTATATAGATATTTACTAACAAAAAGCTTTTACTGAAATAACAACATAAAGTTTTTGAAGATAATTTCCACCAAGAAGAGTTACCATTACTACAGTGAGTCCACTGTGTTAGAATTTTCTTTGTAATATTTTGATATTTATAGTCAGTATGTAATATAAACCATGAGCAGATTTTACATATAATACTTATATGATTTTGAAATGGTGGAGATTTGTAGCTTAGGTAAATGATTTTGCGGGAGTCATTTACCTAAGCTTGCGGGAGTGCCCCAAATGCCCTGGTATGGCCGAGAGCGGGGTAGGTTCGCCCTCCCTCTCGAAATATTCTCACACGGCCACGCGTATACAGCCTCTGCCAGGGAAGTCCTACTCACTGCCTACTCGTGGCGGGGGTATTGTTTAAGAAAATGGGAGGACGAAAAGCGAATGTCCGGCGCTTTAACCGGATTCCAAATCAATGGTGCACATGCGCTCCAGTATCCTGCGGGAACAAATGGCGTACGAACCAATCGTTGGTCACCGGCTACCATGGGACTACATCTCCTCACTATGCTTCACTGCCTTGTGGATCAGACCTTCAGGTCGAAGGCTCAGGGAGTTGTCCCCTAAGATAACTACCTGCTTCGGTCTGGGCACCCGGGCAGTATCACAGCTCTCACACATATCGAATGAGATTTGTGTGGCGCATATGTATTTGGTGCCTCCTTGTACCAATATCTTTGTGTTAAAATAAATAAATAAAAAATTTGCAGGAGTTTTTTCCTCTGAGCTGAATGGATTGATTGTGGAGTTTTCATCGTTCTTCTGAACAATATCATCAGTACAAAATTTTAGGACTTCTATCTGAAAGCTCCACAATCAAACCATTCCTACTTAGAGAATAAAACTTCAGCAACATATAACACTTATTACCATTAGTAACAAAGAAAAAAATCTTTATAAATTATTAGAAAACGTACAATCACTAATGTTAATTACGTCACGGAAAGTAACTTTTTTTAGAAAATTATTAATTTATATAAATATAATCCCTTAGTGTTAATAATCTATTTTCATACATCATATATGATATTACTATTGGTCATTTTATTCAAAACATAGGTCATATAACACAATATGTACACATACATGATATATGTGCAGATAACTTTAAGGATTCAACTGTTCACTTCAACTATCAACTTGGTAATGTTCAAACTGTTTATAATGTAATCATTTCTCTTACTATCTCGCTCTCCCTCTCTCTCTCTTTATCCATCTATGTGTTAATGATCATGTGTTAATTAGAATGAGATTAGAATTGTATAGTTTGATTAAAACATGTATGAATATGGGTTTGTTTATTTCTTTCAAACAATATTGTTGACAAATAATTATGACTGATTAATTGATGTAAAGAAATGCAAAATTTATACATGTACTTCATTAAACATTATATAAGAACAGTAAATGGAATACACTGATTAAGACATTAAATTAGAAAGATTGATTCCTTGAATTTTGGATATTTGTTCATGTTGATCCAATCCTTAAGAAAGATAACAATCATATTTACTTGACCAAGTTTGATAGAATAACACAAAAACCCATTAAGTTCCTTTACTGTCGAAGGGTCCTTGAATTTTTTTTTTTTAATAAACGGAATACACCCATTAAAACATTAAATTTAAAAAAAAAGATTGGTTATTCTGTCAAACTTACTGAAGTGAATGCGAATGTTATCTTTCTTAAGGATTGTATTAACATATACAAATATCCAAAATCCGAAAAGAGAACTCTTCATTGATCCAATCTTTCTTATTTCATTTTCATTGTTCACAAAGAAAAATCCTATAATTCCAATGAAAGAAGATTAAATAAGAGAATGAATGTGTATTCTTTATCAAGACAGCTTTGACAAAAAGTCAATCAGTTTGGTCTTTCTATTATTCTATTGCTTAATGCATTTTATACATGACTTAGTCTTAATTTCGTTTTTTTTATTATTATCACAATTACCAGACTACTTAAATACCTGGATCTGTAGAAATACTGTAATATATTTTTCTATTTTAAATATATCTTCATTAACAAACTATGTTTTGTAAGCAGATAATTGAATGAGCATCAAACTCTCTCAACCCCTGGGCTATCTAATTTTCATTTATATTCATGTCTTCTAACTTCATTGTCTGATTACATCCTCTCATAAAATAATAAGAGTTTGAATTAATTACAATGTATAAGTTTATATATTCATAGTTGAGTGATTTTCTTTGAGGTTGATCTAATGCTGCTATCCAGCTAATTAAAACTAATTAGTAAATGATTTTTAAACATACTGTCTAATGCTTGAAAGTTTATAGTAAAGTTACATACTTTAAAACTCAAATAAAGAGATTAAAATAGTTTATTCGTTTATTATCTTACAAAACAAAACTCAAATATTATAAGCGAAGATGGATAGTGGCTAACAGTGGAATCCAGGATGTGCATTCCCCATTTAGGACCCAGCATTTGGATGTACCTGTATCTCAGAGTTGATGCCCATTCTGAGACTAGAATCCAGTACCGTTCACTTTAAATGTTATTCACCAGGCTACTGAGTCCTGATAGCCACTTGCTTGTGGATAACGTGATGGCGTTTGAAGCGAACGGTACTGAGTTCGAGTCCCAGAGTGAACATTAACTCTGAGATGCAGGTACATTCAGCTGACGAGTCCCACATGGGACGAAACGCACGTCCTGGATTCCACTGTTAGCCACTACCCATCATTGCTTAGAATGCTTGTGAATTAAGGCGATATCGAGCCAGTCCACACAGTAGGCATATATGCCAATAAGAGACCGGTCCACTGCAGTCCTAAACATCAATGGGAAGTTCAGGTAGACAATACCAAATGAATTTAAGACCCAAATATATTTATATTTATCCAGAAACAGTAGACTACTAGTCCTTTATAATACTTTGATTTGTTACATTTATTTCCCTTAACTGATGACTACCATCAAAGTACGATTAATTATACACTGAGATACCGTGATGAACAAAGCCATACACTTTCAAACAACAAGGTATTCTAACTACAAATGGATCGAATGAACAGTTTCACTAATTTTCATAAAAATAAAGATGATATGATCACTATGCAACTTTGTAGTTAACAATTTAATTTTAAATGGAAGATTAAGGTCAAAACTGAGAAGATATTTAAAATTTCTTGATGTTATATATTATTCTTCAAATAATTTGTTATGAACTGCAAATGTTCAGTCTAGGTTTGAAGGTGAATATTTTCGACAAGTTGATGGTGTTGCTATGGGTAGCCCTTCAGGGTCACTCTTAGCTGATGTATTTATGACGAGAGAACTGATTGGTGAGGCAACTTTTTACAAAATATTCATGGATGATATATTACTTTGAGGTTTCCCAGTTATTAGATAAACTGAATGGGGTACAGAATGATAACGTAATGACCGCTGATGCAGAAAATAATGACCAATTGCCCTTTTTAGACACGCTTTTGAGTTGAAGGGAGGATTGTACTATGAGACGGTCAGTTTATAAGAAACGAACTTGGATGGGGTAATATTTAAATGTCCATAGTTTTTGTCCATTGCAATACAAGCGAGGCTTGGTTAAGTGCCTCTTTAATAGGATTCAAAGAATATGAGCCACTGATACTGTTGAGGTAGATGAAAAGTTGCTGATTGACACACTAATATTAATGGTTATCCGCTAAAGTTTATAAATAGGTTCCAAAGTCACTCAAGATTAAGACATCTCGTTTATTCGGTTCCGAAGAAAAACGTTTATATCTATCTGTCATATAGAGGCGAATCTAACAGTATGGTTATGAGACAGAGATTGGAAGCAGCCATCGAGAAAACATATTATGCTACTAAACTGGTTGTGAATAATAAGACTAAGCCCATGATTCCAAATAAGCCTGGACAATGCACAAACGACTACGTCATACCACAATGTATTTAAAAATTTACATGTTTGTGAGGACACACATAAATAGGGGGGAGTAATCGAACAACTCAAGCAAGGGTCATGGAATATGTGCCTAGATAGCTTCAAAAGCAGCTAATGTCAACTGATCTGATCAACGTGAGAAGTAAAACACCATGCTCAGCGATAGCAAAACACATAAGTGAAACGGGGCACAGAATTGACATCAATACAACATTTAAAATGTTGTATAGAAATTCTCAGTTTTATAGTAACCTTGACTGTTCGTAAATTTGAACCCTCTTGTTTACAAAAACAATTTGTCGTAATCTTGAATTTACCCTGATAACCTTCAAGTCATTTTATGGTCTAGCGTAATGCGACAATTTCTTATTCTTTATATACTTGAAATTTCATTTAATTGACCTTTATTAATTTTCATATAAAATGCCTTGACAAGTATATATGTGACCAAACTGTTTGGAATATATAGCGCAAATACATTACATTATTTCAAATCAACTCCATCTTCATATTGCTCTAGCGAAATTTATAAAAGCGACTAATTACTTCACATAATTTCAATTTGTTGGAACTGTATTAAATTAGTGATAGTTCTTAGGTATCAATGCCAAGGTTTTTGTTATAGCTCAATGAGTAGAAAAAACCGTACTTGGTGTACGTCACTTCTTCAGAGTAAATAAATAACCGAATTAACTTAATACAAGTTTCCTTTGTAATATTGAAACTTGTGCTTTTTCCTTCTAAAAACCTCATAAAGTCACTTAATATAACTATGCGTGAAACTGTACTTTTACAAAGGTCAGTTAAATTAAGTTAATCTTTTCAAAAAAATGTATTATAGGTACTTCAAATGAAACCATGAATTTATTCTAATCTCATTAGTAATCGTAAAATCAATGAAGAAAAATAATATGTTAGTAAAATCTCAGTGAATAAATCTGAAGTAAACCCAACGTTTCGTCTGGCAATCTGATTCAAACTTTTTCAAGGGAATATAATCAAACATCAAAATTATCGAATAAAAATAAGTACACGATTCTCTGGTTCTGGTTAACGTTTATTTTAGCGAGTTAGTTTTCTACAGGATGGGGTCACTAACCCATGCCCAATCCTCCTCCTTTATCCGGGATTGAGACCGGCAGTAGTCCCAGAGGGGCTCCAGACGGAGTTGATTCCTGGTTCTTACTTACTTACGCCTACTACTCCCAGTGGAGCACAAGCCGAAGATCAGAATTCTCCAACCCATTCTGTCCTAGGCCTTGCTTTCTACTTCTATCCAATTTTTGTTCATTTTTCTTATGCCTGTCTCCATTTCTCGGCATAATGTGTTCTTTGCTCTTTCTCTCCTCCTTTGGCCTTGAAGATTCCAAGTGAGAGCTAGCCTTTAGCTGCAGTTGGATTCTTTCCTCAATGTTTATCCTATCCACTTCCATTGAATTCTCTAGTTCACTGAATACTAAATATGTCATCTCGTCAACTTTATTAAACATCGTTAACATTGATTGGATGACCTATTTAATATACAGTGAACCAAAGAATTAATGTACCTATTTTATTTGATAATTTTAATGTTTAATTATATTTCCTTGAAAAAATTTGCATCAAATTGCTAGACGAAACATTGGGTTTACTTCAAATTCATTCACTGAGATTTCACTAATATATTCTTCCTCTTTAATTAGTGTTTCACATTAACTCGATATCTAAATACTATGAAACTATTCAATTAAATTTATATGAAACTTCTTATTTATCCTATAATCATTTATTTGTTAATTATTACATAAATAAATGTACATGATAAATATATAATTGAATAGAATAAATGTGTATTTGTCCTAACAACAAATAAATATACATAATTTCAATGAATAATGATTGATTAATTAAGATCTTGTCGTCTAAGAACACATTATTTTTCATAATGAATAGGTGTCACACGTTTATACACTTTTCTATATCATGTTAATTATTAATTATATATTTATCATAGAACTACAGCAAAACATGTGCATTTA